GGGGGTGGGGGCCAAATATGGCCATTTTTAGCCGTTGGGAACGGCTATTTTGCAATTATAGCCATTGCCCAACGGCTATAATTCAAAAAAAAGGGACGCGGGACGGGACGGGACGGGATAAACGGGACGAAATGGCCATCCCGTCCCATCCCGTATCCCGTTTAACATGGGCCCATCCCGTTTAAAATTAAGTGAGACGGGACGGGACGGGACGGGACGGGACGTTCCTTAGTACAGAATGATGCCTCATGTTGGTTCCCCAAGTACACGCAAATATACGTGGCCGTCAAGTAATAAAGTGACTCGAAAGTCGGATGTCGAACCTACGGAGATTTAGATTAACCGTTAACTAAGCAAGCTAAAATCAGTTAATTATCCAAGATAATCAAGAGTTTGATTTTTCTATTACAACTATTATTGCAAAAATTTAAACACGTAATCCAGGAAGATATAGATTCCAGGGTTGTGTTCGGTTTATCAATCCTATTGAGTTCTTAATTACACATGTTAATCCAAATTATCTATGATTGCTAGTTGATCGGATCGTTTATATAAAGAGCATGTTCCCACAATACTATCCATCTATCCATAATATATCAACCCTATATTCCTATGGTCTTGAATTTATCATGAACTAATATAATACGACATTCAACTAAGACAGACTGTTAGGTATATTCCTATCCTAACCGCGAAATCTTTCCCCGAGCCACGGGTTCAGAAACAAACTCTCTCTAATTCTACTCTAATCTAAACATTGCTTTCCCAAACATAGCATAGATAGTAAATAGAACTCAACTGCTGGCCAAACAATTAGGCAATTATGCACACAATTAGAGAAACAACCAAAGATGATAATTCGAATTAACGGTAATATAATTAATAAACTTTAATATTCATGACAGTCACAACCCTAGAACGTGAAGTTAGCTCCACATAGACATGGTAGCAAAATAACAAATCATCAAGAAAAAGTAAAGATTACTAAGTTTGATGAAAGAAAGATGAAATTTGATGAATTCCGGCCTCCACGGCGGCTCCATGCTCTCCCTAGGACTAAAGTATGTCAAAAGTCTCTCAAAATAACGTTTTTACATGTATTTATACCAAGTAGGGTTGGGCCTAGACGAAATCTCCCTTTCCTAGCCGAAATAGGAAACTTTGCAAACTTATTGCTTTTCATGCGTCGCACTAGTGCTTTTTCATGTCAGACCAAAAAACTCAGTCTCTGAACTAGGGAAATTTCTGACATAAAATTACACTAATGCGTCGCACAGTGCGTCGAACAGTGCCTCGCACTAGTGCATTTCTTCAGCAGTTGCTTCTTCCCTGAATTTTGACGTCCAGAATTGATCCTCGACCCCCGAAGACGATCTCGGCTTAATCCTTTGAGCTTTTACTGAGACTTCAAAGCTCCAAATAACTCGAATTCGTTCCATAACATCTATATAGCTCAGAATCACTCCTACAAGGCATAAAACACACAATTAGTGCAAAACTCTAACGATTAAAGCTCAAACTCAATTAAAGTGTAGCGAATTAGAATATAACAAGTGACTAAAATACGTAATTATAGCGTGCATCACCTCCCTTTTATTTCCTTGAGATGAGGCTGTAATACTGTTGGACCTAATACTTGTAATGACAAAAAACAACCACAAAGGAATTGCATTAAACAATAGAACCACCAGAATTGCTTGTGGAACCCAATTTCAGTATTAATTCCACTACTAATCAAATCCTACTGCTAATGCCTTATGATTATCAACCATCACTGCATAATTTATACGACTATAATACAACAATAACAATCGTTAAGCCTCAATTCTAAACAAATTAGGAACAACTATACGAATTCTCAGTATCAATTACTCCTATTAAAGCTCATGCTATTCAAGGAACCCTGTTTTGCTTAAGATTGCATTTCTCACTCTGCTCAAATCTCTGCCTTTTAAAGTTCTTCCAATACCTTCACACACTGAGAAAGAAGATATTTGGCTTCTTTCATGTTTTTTAGCAAGCCATTGATGTGGAGGCATCGTTTCTCCTTCATCATCATCTTCTTCTTCTTCTTCATCGCTTTCGCAATTATTTCTTACAAAACTATATCCTCCACCACCAGAATCATCACTATTACCATCACGCCATGAGGTCTTTTTTGAGCTTGTCCCGTAAATTTTTGACCAATCGGGTATGTTTACTGGGGCTGATTGCTGAGCTATTTTAGGTTCGTGAATTGAATTCTTGTTTGATCTTGGGATCATTTTGACTGCAGTGGGCAGCCTCCTTGAACTGAAATTTGAAGATGACTCTTTACTTTTGCTGAAATTAGAGCCAATTTCGCGTCTTTCGTTGATAAAATTACTCCAAATGTCTTCTTCTTGAAATTCTTCATTCCTCATTGATGTCCACCCACTACTACCTTGGCTGTACAAATTATACCTCCCTTCAGATGATGATGACATCTTCTGCAAAACCCAAAATTCAATCAAGTCAAAGAACATAAATATGTGAACAACAACTACTGCGCCTCAATCCCACACAAGTTGGATCGGCTATATGAATCATCACTGACTATGTTTTTTCATTTAAACACAAAATATGTGAATATGCACTTTTTAGAAAATTTATAAATAGATAATAGGTAATTTATGGATCTGCAACCCCTCAATAGAGCCAGACATTATGGTAAATGATGAGTAAGTTGATTAATCTTTTCTTAAAATATTATTTTTCTAGAGTTAAAGCAGTCTAGCAAAGATATACAAAAACAGATTTATTAGCATGGTTTTGAAAATCTGGAACAAGTTTCGATTTAAGATAGTCCATACAATCGTCCTTAGTTCAGGGACGATTTGGGTGCGACCCTTCCCTGACCATGCGTGAACGAGGAATGCTCTATCCTTTGTAGAATCGTCCTAAGTTATGCAGTTATATCCTTACCATACTGTGTATAAGATGAGTGCAGAATGTACCTCTCTCTAAAATTGAAACTTGCAACAGATAGCTTTCTTCAGATCTTGAAAATCGTATTATCTGCAAAACAAAAGGATAAATTATTTATAGCCGGCCTGAGATTAACACAGAGAAGAGAAAGATTAAAAGAAAGAAAGACCAATGATTAATATCGTTTAAGGAAAAAGCAGAGCAGTCACAAGACTGTTTTTCAACCTTAAAATCCTACGAATAGCTCTTGCTGATGAGTGAAATTCTCAGAAGTGAGAGTTTCACAGAGGAGAGATAGAGACCTTATAAATTTTGGACCTAAGAGATTTCCTAAATAATTGACCTATGTGTATTTTACGTTTTGTCTTTAGCAATAGCTTGACTTTCTGATAAGGAAAGGTTAGTGACACCATATGAAGTCTGTAAACAATCTGATGAATGTTAAATCCACTTTAGAATTGTTTTTGGAAACAGGAGGATAAAAGTGATTACTCCGGGTTTGTTTGTAAAGTAATTTTGGGATAAAAATTTAATATTACCTTATTTCTTGTATGGTACTTAATTTTGGGATAAGTTATTTTATATTAAAAATAATACAAGAATAACTTTAATACCGGACAGTGAACTAGTAATCCCAGTAAAATTGACAATCTCAAGATTAATACAACACACCAAACAATCAATAAAAAATAATATCAGAATAACTAATCATAAAATAAATAATTCCAGTATAAATAATCTAATCATATCTTGTTTTCAAACTAAACCAAACCACCCTTTAGTGATTTTACAATTACAATAAAATTGCTCAGCGAGTTTGCAGGGAGAGCTAGCTAGTACCTGATTGCTTTAAAATAAGGCTGTGATCACAGGATAGATTGTATATGATATTAGGAAAAAAACCTGTTTAAGTCTCTCTCCCCTTTCCTGAATGTTTCCTTAAATTGTCTTCTTGTGCCAGAAATTATTTAACCTTAATAAGGCTCTTTTATAGAAAAGTCTAATGTAGTGCTCCTCCTTAGTGCAATGCACGTGTAAATTTTAACATAATTTACATTATCATGTTTAGTTAAACCTTGTTTTTTTCAGCCACGCTTGTTAATACAAAGTTACTACTTTTACTTATTAATTAAGCTCATTAAGGTGACTTCGAATTCCATGAAAGCTCAGGTGATAATGATGTCGGCTAGTGAGGATAATATCAAATTAACCTGATTTTAGCTATGTGTCGACCGCCATTTTTAAACAAAAAGGCTAAAGAACGCACATTAATGAAGATTCCTAATAGCACGTTCGCTATCTAGGCTTTTGCAAATGATCATTTCCCCCCCTTTTTCTGTTTATTTAATATTGCATGTTACTTTTACATTATTAGTGTATTTTAACTTAATATAATAAATTAGGAGTATTTACTTTACATTCTAAATTATCAAAATTAGATTTATTTTGAAAAGTCATATATTGTTAACGAGTTACTATAACCTGGTGATGTAATATAATTTTACCTGGTTAGTGTTGAGAAGTTAAACTCACTAATTAATCTTTGAATGCAAAATTACTATGTTCCCATAAACATGCTAATTAATTATCGTAAACAAAAAATAAGTCAACATGGGCGTGCAAATTTTACAATAGTAAAACAAGACCAAAGTGTACAGTTCAACATGGCGATAGAACCATCTTAATTTATAAATAAAAAATGGAGAAAGCAAAGAAGAATTATTTCATGCACGGTTGATAATTTCCAAGTTGAGAGGGAAAAAAGAAGCACCTTGTTAGTCTTTTTTGATGTTTTATATGTTCGATATTACATTAGAGCCCCAGTTATTCGATTCACATCGCTTAAGACCAAAAGAAAGAAGCGTTTTGTATCAAGATTTTTTTATTCCAAAGATCTTTGGTTAATTCATACCATCACAATTCTCGATCGGATATTATTATATTATTTCGTCATGATACGTGAAAAAAGACGACTTGAATTTAACCTTTTGAGAGCGATAGAAGAAGAAGCTTCCACCGTAAATGAAAAGAGACAAGAAGAACAGCCGCCATTCATTGTATCTGCCTGATTTCTAGACATTATGAAGACGAACATAGATTTTGCAATTTTCACGTTCAATAACCATTTCAACGCTCACTCTCAGTTTACTTCATGGAAAAGAAGAGAATCTTAGTAGTATTTGGTGGAGTATTCTGCCGATTGGAATAGCTGTCTCCTCCACGATTCCTCAGTTTTTATTATTTTTAGTATTTTTTTCCTTTTGTGTTTCCCTTTTCTTCTTTTTCTTTTAGGGATATAAAAAAATTGAGTTGGCGGCTAACAAGCAGAATCTGTCCCACAACAGGCGGCCGCCACTCTGGCAAAGATATCTGGTTTTACGATTACTTTTTTTAATAACAATTTGAACGATCTTTTCTCAAAAAAAACAATCCAGCCAAAACAAAAGTTTGATAGCATTTCAGGCTGGTCTCCAAAAGGTAAAAAGAACATATGGAATGAATTCTTATCTAGTGGCATCCTCACCAATAATAGATCCTCAAAATCAATAATCCAAAAGGTAAGCATATAAGCACCACGAAGAAAATGATCACAACTAGACGAAACATTTACACATTCATAAAAACAAAATTCGCACAATCACATTTCAAGCTTTGAACTATTAGAACAAAATTTTAGGGCAATGGCATGAAGTTTAAAGAGTGAGAATTGAACTTCAAGGTAGTGGCCTAAAGTTTGAATTGCAAGAATTTAACTTCAGCCCACTGTCATGTAGTTTGAAGAAGATATTTTTTTCGTTCCTATACACTATTTGAAATCTTATTACGAAAAATGTCCATGCTTTTGTATTTATCCAACCTAAATACGTTTTAGCTACAAAATATATACATTTGTTTAAACTAGAATCCTTTCTGCGATAGTCTTTCTTATTTAGGCGCGGGCTTTTGGGATCGCTTATATTTCACTTAGAGATTTTAGTAACGCAATTATATATCGCACCATAATCAAGGCAACATATCTGTAGAATCCTTCTATTACGCAGATTTTCACTGGTTATCACCGCACCATAATAAAAGCAACATATCTGTAGTATCCTTCTATTCTCTGGTTTTCTCTGGTTTCCTCTGGTTTTCTATAAACAAAGGTTTTGAAGAAGACGATTGCAAATAATTAGCTACAATTGAATTGAATTTCGCAACATAATGTCAAAATTAGCGATTATGATTTAGCTCAATGGTCGGTGGGATAACGTTGGGAGATACAAAGATTTTGATGTTGACGAAATTGTAGTCAAGGACGATTCAAATTATAGTCAATTGAATTCCGCAATTGCAGAGCATCTAGTGATCGATACCTCCGCAAAAATCATCGAAATCAAATACACTGTCAATGAACGTTGTCCTCCAATAAAAATTCAGAACGATATGGGAGTTCGAGTGTATATGGAGACGAAAAAGGAAAATAACAACGTAGGAATGTATCCGCTGTGTATAACAGTGCGTGATTTCGATTTGGAATGCAGTATGTCGAATGCGAACACAATTACAGGTTTGCTATATTTTTTCAGTGCTAATATTATTTCAATTTTAAGTATTCTACTATTTTACTACAAATTATCTACAATTAAACTACATAACAAATGGAGTTCAACTGTTATATCTCTACAAGCATTCTGTCAAATATTGAACACATGAATATACAGAGGTCTGAATTACTATATTTTAATTGAGTGTAGGTTCTTCTGATTATCGTAATACTAATGTGGTACAATTGTCAAGCAATTGTAACACAGATAGATAGATATCAGGAACAGTGAAGTTGATTGATATGCAAACATCTCTGGCAATTGTGGAATATAAAAGTATCATCATAACAGAACATACACCAAATATAATTGAAGTAGGCCAAGTTTACCAAAACAGGCAAACAATTGTCAGTGCAATGAAGCACTATTTTTTCATGAATAAGTTTCAATTTAGGGTGAAAAGGTCTAGTGCAAGAAGGTAGGAATATTTTATTTGTCAAATTCATATTGTGTATAAATTGTAGTTTTTCTGTATGTAAATTGTTTAAGATAAGTTATTGTGCATAAACAACCTCGTATTTTGTAGCTACAATTGGCATAACACTTTTTGAATTGATTTTATTCTGTAGCTACTGCCTCGTATGTGTTGGAGACAATTGTACATGGTACTTCAAGTCCACCAGCATAAATGAATTAGCATTGTTCAAGGTTCGAAAATTCAACAGCTTGCACACATGCTCTTTGATGGACAACACATATATACAACGCAAACCTAGTGCCATGGTAATTGCCAGCATGGTGATTCCAAAATATGCGGATCCTAAGACAATATACACACCAAAAGACATACAAACTGACATGTTGTCAGATCATGGTATGAACTTAACATAATGCAAGTTTGGAGAGCAAAGGGAAAAGGCTTTGGAATTTTTGAGAGGTCATCCTGTTGATTCCTACAGCTGCTTGCCGAGTTATTTGTATATTCTGGAGAAGACTTATCTGGGGTCGGTAGTGAAATTGCAGAAGACTGAAGATGACTGTTTCTTGTATGAATTTGTTGCACTTAGTACGTCCATCAAGGGTTGGGATCATTGTAGTCCAGTTATAGTAGTTGATGGCACCTTCTTGAAGTCGGCATATAGGGGAATCATGCTAACAGCAATGAATGTAGTAGGTAATGTAGATTAATTGTAAAAATATTGTTATAAAGTTATTTTTGAGACTGTATTTTTTATATTTTCAAGTTTTATTACAGAAATTGAATTTCTTTTTGTCACATGTGTGATAGGTAGCATATTACCACTAGCATACGCCGTTGTTGATTCAGAAAATGACGCATCATGGAGGTGGATTTTTGAGCAATTCAAACATGCATATGGTGAAAAATCAAATATGTGTGTTGTTTCGGACCGAAATGAGAGTATCCTGAAGGCAACATCTATTGTTTATACTGTCATGCCACATTATGCTTGCATGTGGCATATTGAGACAAATATAAGGTCAAAATTCAAGAAGGGTCATCTAAAGTTAAGCGAATTGTACTTTGCCATGGCAAGATCATACACGCTTGATGAATTTAATTAAAGAATGTCAAAGCATACCTATATGATATTGGCTATCACAGATGGTCTCGGGTACATGCTACGGTGAACATAATGTGGACGATGACATCAAACATTGCAGAGTCATTGAATGCGGTAACCAAAGATATAATAGAGCTGTCCGTAGTAGAACTATTAGAGTACATGTGGACTCTTCTTGAACGTTGGACTAATGAAAAGTTATTGAATGCAAAGGGTACATTCACATACCATGGGAGAATACAATAAAGAGTTGGAGGACAATAGAACATTATCGCAAAAGATGAGAGTAAGCTATAGCCAATAACATCAGATCATTGATTCCATCAAACTAAATATACTGTTAATTGTAGAAATATTGTTGTATAATTGTAGTTATTTTATTTTGTATGTGTTGCTCACAACTTGTTGTGTGTTTGTAATGAAATTGTAGGTGAGGGCTTCAACAGATTACATCCATATTGTGATAGATGGTGTGAAGCACTTCATTGTTTGCCTTCAAAATAAGAGATGTAGTTGTGGACAATTCTAACTTGATGAACTTCATTATGCACATGCTTTGGCGGATTTGAGGCACATGAACGAGTCTTATGAAAACTATTGTTATCCTTATTACACGAGGGAGAGCCTTCTGCAGACTTATGAAATACCAGTAGACCCACTGCCTGACGAAAGCAAATGGAATGTGCCACAACATATTGCTGAAGAAGT